CTTTAAGTTTTCTTCAGTATTGGCAGCTACACAAAGTAACACAAAGGTGGCTGACAGTTAATACACTTGACATTTTTGGAGATATTTTTAAGACTAAAAGAGATGAAAGATTTTATTATTTTTTCCATAAACGTAGCAGCAAAACATCCAGTGTTTGAATAACCAGAAAGATGAAAGATGTTAACCAGAAATGGGGCCTGGGTTTACATGTTGCCTTCTTTAGTGGAGATTCATGAGGGGAAAGTTCAATCCTAAGAATTCTTTCCAGGGAAAACAAAAACAATGACTGGAGGAAAACAAAGGCAAACTGAGACTCTGAACACACTGAGAACCTCTGCTTGTCTTTACAAAGTCAGACAGATGGTTTATAAGCCTCCTAATTTTAAATCTGCAGGGAAACTCACACAGTCCTATGAGATTACACAGACGGGTCAGAAATCGTTGGGTAAATGTTTCTGTCCGCCCACAAAAGGGCCAAAATGTTCCCCTAGATGTTTTACACTTCTGAAAAATGAATGCTGGGCAGTTTTGCTTTTCTTTCCTGCAGTCTTTTTACTCATTTACTTTGTTTAGAAGAGTTCCTCACTTTTCCTCATAATGTTGAAAATGTGTACCGTGGAATCGGGTATAAATTCGAGCAAAGTTGTAAAGTAAACCCTGATTGTTGAGCGGTTTTTGACCCCAGGATGTTGCATAACGCCGCGGTGATCCATCGGCTGGTGTTTTGGCCGTGCAGGCGGTCAGCTGGGGTCAGCAGGGAGAGGTCAGAGGAGCACAAAGGAATTTAGACACTGTTGGCGGGTCTCTGTGAGGAATGACTCGTTCGGTCTCTCTCCCAGTCTCGCACAGCCTGTTCTGTGTTTTTGTTCAGCTGGTAAAACCCAAACTTCTGCACTTTTTATTGTCTTGTTCTTTGAAAATGTCCATTTATGCATTCAAAATCACCCTGTCAGGAGAGGCGTGATTTAGTGATGGAAAAAGCTGAAATGATTGACCTGCAAAAGGCAAAAAAAAAGAAAAATCATATCTCCTAAACAGCTAAAGTTGAGTTAAAACCTGCCTGGTGCATCATGGGATGGATGGTGGAGAACGCCATTGTTTATGTAGATGAAAGTTTATCCTTTTTAGCTCTTTTGAGGGTCGCAATGTTCACATTTTGGACAGATTGGAGAGATGTTAAGTTTTAACCTGCCAAACAATTAGAAGTCGGCATGATATCTCTCCACTTTGTTGGTTTCGCAGGTTTAACCACTCGCTTAATGGATCGTTTAAGGGTCTTTCAACAGCCGATGGTTGGAACAAACTTTGGTTTTTAAAGAAGAGCTTAAGCTGCTTTAGAAAAACAGATACTAAGTCCTGGTCGAGGTGACCCATCAAAATCTGTATGTGTTAGCCTCGTAGGAATAGTAGTTACAAGCCTATCTGAAGCCAAACTTTGTAATTAATCTACTTAATCATAACCTGTGTGATCTTAACGATCACAAGATGTGAAACGTAAAGCAACAATGCATCGGCTTTAAATGGATTCCATTAGTTTAGCTTAAATTGAATTAAAATTCAATTAACATTGAATTAAATAGCCAATTGAATTTAAATTCAATTGCTAAATGTTAAAAGAAATGGTTTCCCTGCTGTGTAATTCATTTATAGCTCTTTAGGAATACTTTTCACTAAATTATTTGGATGATCGTGCAACATATCCAGGCTTTATGTGTTCATCACCAAACGAATGACAGTATTAAAGATAATAATGATAATCAAAAGAAGAAGGATAACTGAGGGTGTAAAAGCACAGAAGAAAACATGACAGATGGTGAACTGAACTCAGAGAAAATCAGCATGAATAACTTTTTTGTGATGGTCCAATCCTTTGTCTTGATCCTCTGACGGTAAAATCTTTAACCATTTTTGTAAATTGAAGTCATGGCGAATATTTCCCGGCCGGTGGTGCAGAGGTTCCCCAGCTGTGAGGGTTAGATGGGCCTCCTCCTCCTCGTCTTTCTATCAGTGCTTCCCATTTAAAGCGGAGCCACAGTTGGGTTTTTTTGTTAAGTGGAGGAGGTCAGAGCGCGCTCAGTTAAGTTTTCCTCAGAGACGCCATTTCGGCCCGACCATTACCAGCTTCCTGCCCCCGGCTCCATCTTCCCGCCACCAGAATCCCCCCCCCCCGTCCACTCCAGCTTTCACCGGACGGCTCCTGGATGGTGAGCTCCCACTTCTGCAGCCGGCCGAAAGCATTCAGAGTCGTTTGTGAGTCCTCCTAACGCGTTTGTGCCGAACCCACCGACTCACAGCCATCTGTGCTGTTGTGGGTCTGTTGTTGTTGTTGTTGCCGAGGTTTGTCCTGCAGAGGCTGCTGTTTCCGCCTTTTATTTCACGGTTGAGGAGGAAAAAAGGAGAGAGGATCTTAAATCTTTTTGTGCTGACCCGTAGGGATTGTGTCTTTATTGTTCTGTGAATGCACTTCGTTTAGGAAAAGAGGTATTTTCAGACACCAGCTGTTAACATTTAAACTATAAAACGAAGCGATTCATCACATTGATTGCATCTCCTTTAGTGGTGTTGCAATTTGGTTGGAAGCCTTTTGTTGTTGTTATATTTAACCCTTATATGCCTGTTTTGAAATTGAAAATCACTGATTGGGATTTTAGCTCAAACTCCAAGGCCTCATGAGGACTTTGGGATGCTTCTACATGGTTACAGTTAGAATAATTATGTTGTTAGACACAATTATTCCTCTTTTTATTCCTATTTTCATATATTAGTAATCACCTTTATACATTTAGTACATTTAATCTGAAAGGTATGAACTGTATTTTCATCCAAATCTGCTTGAAATAAGAACAACTATTTGGAGGTGGGTCTAAGTGATTTTGCTTTTAGAAATGAATAAGAACAAGAAAGAATGTCAAACTTTGGGCTTATTCCAAACATCTCAAAAGCAAACGAACAAAAGTCTGGCAGATTATCAGACAGTGAGCGAGGCATTCTTCCTGTTCACCTTCTCCTCCCCGCCGACCCAGAGGAACGGGATCAAACGCACCCTGCAATTACTCTCAACCCCCTAGGCTCCTCTTCAGGGGCTACTTCACAGCAGAACACACACGTTCAAAGACACACACGCACACACACACTTGTAAACACAGGAAGCATCAATGCTCTCAGCAGGAAGTTGTGATGTCTTGTGACTGCTGCTCATTACTACTGACCCACAGAGGCTCTTCTCCAGTTGTTTTCCCAAACCAGCTCCAAACGCTGTGCTTTTGGTTTTCCTGCTTCAGCCCCAAGAAGTGCGACTTTACTTTTGAACCGTGCCAGACGAATGCAAATTAATGTGTATCAGAGACGTTTCTGTAAAGTTTTGAATTAACAAAACCGCAAATGTCACTGTTCGATATCGACCCCCTCAGGTTTCTTTTGGTCTCCATTAAATCTTCTGATCAAAGCTGTGATACTTAAGAGCTTGAGAGGACCCCGTCGGCTTTGATTCAGGGAAAAGGCGACGCACCACTTTCAGGAGACATGCGATGCCCTTTTTCCCCCTAAAGGCGGCCTTCGATCCAAAAGCCTGATTAGATTTAGGTTGACGGTGTAAAACTCGGCTGCTCCAGGTCCGTCACATTTAGCTGCTTTAACACAGAATCTGTGCACCGCTGGCATCTTCTGTTCAGTGTAAATCAGAGTGCTGAACCAGGGAAACGGCTCAAATCTATCACATTACATCAACTAATCCTTCATTTCTTTTTTTTTTTCCCCCTGAAATGTAAGTTAATCAAAATTGCTCCTGTTAAGATCTATGCGTTTAATCATAGTACTCCACTAATTAAAAAGCTGAATTTCCTGCACTGTACTGGTAAATTATTAGCTCTTTCCTTAGTTAAATGACTATGAAATATGCAGGTTAAGCAAAACCCAAAAAGGTTTGGACACGGCCCTATTAAACATCAGAGTATTTTAGGTGGTTCATAGTAAGACGTCGGTGTGACTGGCTGAATGGACTTGAACTTAAGTGAGCAAAATCTTCTATATACAGTGGGGGAAATAAGTATTTGACCCCTTGCTGATTTTGCAGGTTTGCCCACTTACAAAGAATGCAACGATCTATACCTTTAATCATATGTACATTCTAACAGTGAAAGACAGAATCCCAAAGAAAATTCCAGAAATCACATCATATGAATTTATAAAAATTGATAACCATCTGATGAGGAAAAATAAGCATTCTTTGTAAGTGGGCAAACCTGCAAAATCAGCAAGGG